ATTAGACATACAAACCTCTGTGCACACAAGCGATTTGTCCATCGCGCCAGGGCAGCCGTCATGGCAGCCACAAGGTAAGAGACAAAAGAAGACAAAGGAGGACAAAAGAGCAATTCAAATCATTAGTCCATTCTTTAGTACAGCTCGCTTATTGCAGTTTAGAGGCGCAAACGTGTAAAAGGATGATCGTGAATTAGAATTTGGGTCAATATGTACTTGATATAACTCGTTACAAGCTCACCCCCGAGAAAGGTACAAACGCAAATGCGTTCTCTGTTTCCAGCTATGTGAAATATGCTTAGCGTAGAGATATGTGAACCTTACGTGACCAGGCAGTTGGACCCTCCAAGGACTTTTGCAAGGAACTTCCTTGAAACCCTTCTTCCGCTGCTAGCCGGTTATGCCAAGCACCCACTAACGTTCTTTATTGAAGTCTCAACCACGCTAGTATGCAGTGCATGGAAGGCTTAAAAAGTCATGAGCAAAAACTCGTAGCCTTAGCTTTCTAAATCTTATTTGATTGCTCAGTTTGACTGTCCACGTAGCCAGGTAAATAATTAAACGTCTTTTGGAAAAAATCGTTCGGCTGTGATACACTTCTGGTGCCCATTTGCAATGCCACCCGAAGGAAGCAAAAGGGCTTTGATACTGCCAGGTTGCCCAAGCCTAGGCAGGGTAAGTCGAGAGGCAGATGTTGTGTTCGAGCCACGGACCTTGCTGTCAGTAAATTCACGCTCCAACCACTTGAGCCACCTCGCCCCAAAAATGGCTTTCGGACGATTCTAGAAATACATTTCATAAGAGCTCCGCGGGATGCCTAAAGAACGAGCTAACAAAAGGCTTCACCTACAGTGACAATGTTACAAGCACTTTCAGAGTTTGAAATCCAAAAGCGCTTCCTTTTGTTCATGGTGACCATCCTCACTTCCGTGGAGGGAAAGGGTTATCAGAAACATTGGCCTCAGACTAAAAGTCATCCACAACTTACCTTACGTTTCCCTTTACCATTCTGAACAGGAGTTGTTTTATTCTTGTCATTCCATTCTTACGTCCTATAGATTCTATATAGTCTACACATTCCATACATTATATAAGCCTTTACGACAGGTACACACTCAAGCGCGTGTCTGCGCATGTGTCACTCACATCTCATCTGAGAATATCATGCTGACAACTGAAACTTTGCAAACCAAACAAAATCCGAGGTGAATTATTTCCTCTCTGTACTCCTCAGTTAAAGACTATGCATAATTCAGAGCATCGGACATTTCAACTACCGTCTAGGAAAACGTAGTTTTGATAAGTCTTGTTTGCAGGCCTAGCCGAAAAGGTTGGACTGACCGAAATGTTGATCATGTCACATCAATGGCCGTCTAAGTGGATTCAGTGACCGCAGTGCACGAAGACTTCTGTTACCAGGAGGTGCGCGAATTCATGTCAATCTTTCCACATCCCAATAGGTACTCAGATATTCCAAAACGTTGGGGGAAGCAAATGGAAAGAATTCAAAAGTGATTAGGAACTAAAAATAAGTGACTGTCCGAAACGCATACATCCAATGCAGAAGTGGAATGCTACCTGCCCAAACTAATGTGGCTATTTAAGGTCAGAGTTTAGGCAGATCAGTATGAATCAAGATGCCTCAGCAGTCGCCGTTTGTCAATTCCTTTAGGGAGCCCTCGTGTGACCCCAACACTTTGTGAGTTCGACTGCCCTACAAAGACTCTGCGTTTCCACATGAATTGCGTCTGCTTGACACGTGCACATCTCGTCAATGAAAACGTTAAAGGTTGGGTTTTACTTTTTCACAGTTTAAAGAAAACGAGGATTTAGGTCTTTTCCTGAAGGATTTTCTCCCTTTTTGGGACTTTCTTCTGAAAACTATTTTCTCAATAACTGTCGTTCCGGTGAAGACCTTTTCGTATCACCATAATTTGACAGAAAACTATTAAAAGTCTCAGAAAGATTTAATCAAACTTGTCAGCTGAGTACTGACTGCGAACAAAACAACCAAATTACCATAACCAGCAGGAATGTTGAAATCTACTTGCAAACGGAAAAGCATTTGATGTGGAACCTCGGATTTCAACAGTCGTATTGAGTTTTGCAAGGAAAAAAATTCAGTTTCGCATTTAATTTTGTTGTTTTTGCTCCTAAAAGTTATCATTTAGTCGAAGAAAGTATGTTATGGAATCGATTAGATTTGGCGATTTCTGTTCGGCTCCGTCCTATACTTGTTCATTTGTGGGTTGTAAACGTGTATTATCTTGCGACTGTTTGGACAGGCTTTGTCGGTTGTCCAAGCAGCAGATGGTCGAGTGTGTGCGAATATGTTTAGAATGTTTGTGTGTGTGTGTGTGTGAATTCCATGGCTGCTCGCAGGTGTGCGGTTTCATTTGCTTTGCATTAATTACAGTTGTGAAACATAGACTGTCCCTAAGTGCTCATTAATCAGTTTTGTCAAAAGTGACTCGAGTGGAACAAAAAACAATGCCACTCCTATCGCGGCTGAAACCCAATAATCTATTAGGATGGAGGCATCTCGTCTGATTTAGCACGGTGGTTATGTATCTTGAAGTGAGTCTGGGCACGAACAATGAATTTGAAATAAACGGTAAATTCAGTGTCCTCTAAAACGAGCAAAACGTTGTTGAAATTATTTTTTTCCGTCTGTCTAGCTGAGTTCTCAGATAGCCTTTGAACATCCTGTTCGAGAGGGTTTTATTTACATTCCGAATGTGTCAAGTAGTGACTGAGAGTACTTCTTGTGACTTTGAGGTCATGCTTCATGGCATTGACAAACCGGAGCAATGAATATATTTTTCCATGCTGTTGACGCCCCACTCGTCTAGCTGACTTGCATTGAGATAGTCACTCACACACTCGAGCCCAAACCATGTGGGTTGTTGACGAGGAAACCAGTTGTCACCAGGCGACAGGAGCCTCAGCTCAACCTCTCCTCAGCTAGTCTGTCTAGCGGCTAAGTAGCCCCTACATACCATCATGGGCTGCGAGTGCCGGGAGAGTCACTCTCTTTTGACTGAAAAAGGCATGCAGATCACTCCTGGCCTACGCAGGCATCCCATCAGCGGAGTACTGCGTAAGGCAGGTTATTTGTCAGAAGGTTGCTGCATTGCAACCAGGTATCCAAGACTCAGCTTCATCGGGATCAACTCGGTTCTGATTAAAGACGAATGGGACGAATAAGAAGCCTATCTGACTGCAGGAATTCATTGTGATCTGCATTTCTGTCTGCACCGCTGCTCCGAAGAAGCATGTTCATGGTTCCCAGACTTAAGATGTGATTTGAATGCACACTCCACAAACTGTCCGAAATTTCTCCAGGTGTGTCCGGTTAAAACTTTGTCAGGAAGTTAAACTGGGGAGTGTTGATCTGTTCACGTGCAAACATTCTGCCGATAATTTTTATGGAACGCGACATAAACAACGAGAATGCAGTTTCAGCGAGAAATCTGTGTCTTTTATATCCGTTCTTGTATTGACTGAATAAAACTGTCTCTGCGTTCTGTGGATCCAAAGGTTAACTTATTCAATTGTTCCGTTATTCAAGCTGATCTTGTGATTTACCAATTTTTCTGGGGACTAGCGTAATACTTTAACAAATTCAGTAGCAGCCCGGTGCATAAAAACCTAAGAGTTAGGACATTTCTCGAACTGCTTTGCTTCAGGTTCACCAGAAACTTCAATGAATCCCACATATTTTGCCCATATTTTACTCACGGGGCATAAGCCTTCAGTTCGCAGCTCACAAAACCTCATGGCTCAAAATATTTGCTTCCAACCAACCTGTAAATGCTCAACTGGGGCGGCGAAATCGAACGCAAAGGCCGTAAAAATTTATTCGAGAGAATTGTGCAGCTTCATTGGCCATAAATCTCAAGCACTGGCATTCAAATCTCCACTAATCCACGCGGTGGACACGAGTCATCAAGCTGAACTAAAATTTTTTTTCGGAGTCGTGTGAACATCGCCATATCGGTTGCAGTACACAGACCAGAGTTACTAGTACTGGTTGGAACCATTGACCTACTTATTTTCAAGCCCGTATCTTGTATCCAGAGGGGAAGTACGCATAAACTTTGTTGTTAGTATAACCCCAAGGAGCACTTGCATGCCACGTTAATAGCTCAACAGAACAAAACCACTGTAACAGACTGACTTAATCTTGTTAAATTAACAAAGGTTTATTTCCCCTGAACCGTCGAAGTTTCCTATGTATCCAATTATTCTGTGTGGTGGCGTGACACAGAATTCGAAATGTCTAATCCCTTGTCCCCTCATGTTTGACAACTGAGAATTCTGTGGATAGTTTTTTTGAAAACATCAACTTCGCTCTTATCGTAAACGAATTTGTGCAGGCGGTTTAAAATAAAACTTTCAGTCACGGGGTCTGTCAAAGTATACAAGTGGGAATCATTCGAGACTTTGCCCATGTGCTCTACCTCAACGCATATTCCGGTGGTCGTGAGACCTATCTGCGTTTTTGGAAACAGGCTAATAAGCCGTGAAAAATTCGGTTTTCATGGATAATCCGGCAACTTCTTGTATTTCCAACTGCAGAATCACGGTGCATTTTATAAATGCTGACAGTGATGTGGGGTATTCACTGTATCGTCTTCGACACGCCAACATTTGCAGGTCTGTTAGAACGCCAGTGCGTGTGAGATCGATTGACATGTGGTTACTGCGAAACGGATACTGTAGCGGTAAAATCAGGGTACATCTCACATCTTTTTGGCCTACACAGTGAGCATAACCAAACACAAGACTGTTAACCTAAAAATGATAATATCAAAGAAGAAGCAAACGTGGCAAATGAAAATAGGGACAAACCGCAAACCAACTTTTGTCTCAACTCTGCGTAGTTAATCTGAACTGCTTTTCACTATCCACAATGTTTAATGCGTCACCCTATTTACCTTTCAGGCACTCGCTTTCTCAGAAATGTTTGCTTCTTAACTGTAAACAATTGAGCGCCCATGCCCAACGCGCTTCAACTTTCTGTGGTGTTTACTCACATCCTTTCCACTTGCTTAGCGAGACGCGAAGCTTCCATATCTGTCAATGGATGTTCTACCAAAAACCAGTACAACACGCTTCAGAATATTACATGTGATGTTGCCAAAGACATCTTCGCTGTAAAGTTCATTATACTATTTCTGTATTGTCTGATCGCCTTTGTCGGACTTGTCGGGAATATTCTAGTTGTTTGGGTGGTTTCCCGCACAAAATCAATCCAAACCATCACGAACATCTTCATCGCAAATCTGGCCGTGTCGGATATTCTAATGTGCTTGGTCGCAACTCCGTTTACACCTGTTTCTCTGTACATGGAGAGTTGGACGTTGCCCGAGGCAGTTTGCAAGCTACTCCCGATTACCATGGCTGTATCTGTGTACGTTTCAACCCTCACCTCAATGGCTATCGCTTTGGACAGATTTTTTGTTATTGTTCATCCGTTTATTCCACGAATGAGGATTTGGCTTTGCTTTTTTATTATTATTACTATATGGGTTGTCGCTGTGCTAATCTCACTTCCGTTGGCAGTGTATCATCGGAAACAATCCAACGACCATGGAAGAGTTTGGACCTGCCAGGAACATTGGCCTAAAGAATCCTCACGCGAAGTGTTCACCATTGTCAGTTTTTTCCTGCAGTTCATCGTGCCCTGTGCTATCATTTCTGTGTGCTACTTTCGTATCAGTTTGATTCTTCGAAAGCGGTTACGTAACAAAATCGGAAGCGGTACTAAATTGCGTCTGCAGGCAGAAAACGAGATCCGGCGAAAGAAACGAACAAACAGTATACTAATAGCCATGGTTGCGATATTTGTCATTTGTTGGATCCCGTTAAATGTGCTTCTCACGGCCATGGATATATTAAGTGAAGTTAGAATTCAAACTCTTCTTGGACCACAGTATTTTACTCTAGTTTTCTTTGTTTGTCATTTGTGTGGAATGAGTAGCGCAGTCTACAATCCATTCTTGTATGCTTGGATGAATGAAAACTTTAAACGTGAAGTTCATCGTATCCTACCATGCTTTTGCTCTCAAGCCGGACAGACTCACAACACACAGCAACAAACTGCTGGAGCGGAATACACAGCACTGGCAACCAATGGGCGTCAACTGACCATACCAAACCCTTCATTTGCAGAACAGCCCGTACAGCTTTGCATGAACCCCATCAATTGCGTTGGAGAAACGTGGACTGACGAACGGTCAGTAGTCCGGACGGAGCTACGGGCGAGTGAGGCAAGCGTCAAGTGTTCCACATTTTCTACATCAGAAGAAAGGATAATGGCTGCCACAAATGCATCCTGTTAAAGTTGTTACAGTAATCTGACTCAAGTAATCTGGCAAACCTTATAAGAAACAGCATATCCAAAACTAGTCACCCTGTTCTTGTGTTTTTGTTCTTGTTGTCATGTAATGTCAGGTGCCAAGACCGAATGCCTCTGTTCTTTTTACCAAACTTATTCTGTGTAATGCTGAAGGGCGAATATTCCAATTTGGCCAGTTCGCTGGGAGCACGTTTTTCCGTTCTTATCCTCATAGACCAGAAAGGTACTAGGAATACATATCCAAACAGGTACAATAATGAAATCTGTCCATGGTTCCTTGTATTTTGAGGAGTGGCAAGTTGACGGTTCGCCACTACAACTGAACTTCATCTCATGACAATTCAAGTGTAATCAGCTTCTGAACAACTGACAGTAAAACATAAGTGACCGTGCCAGTAAGTCGTTATTCCCTGCTTACAAAGTCAAACGGTACACATAGATATTTCTAATCAGTCCAAGTCAACAACCCAACTTTACTCGTAAATGCTCCAAGGTGACGCCACTGGACCAATCCGCTATCTCGAATATCTTTCCAACTGATAGAAGAAACGCCTTACGTTGAGATAGTAAAAAACACTAGATCCTTTTGAGCATCCTGTTAGCTACAATACAGTTTACTCCAAAATATTGTTTAATTATGGCCGAATTAATATGTAGTTGTAGTGTAATGGCGAATTCTACCAATGAGGCATGCGAGTACTATTTAGTTCCCTCGTAACTCCGCCTCGCGTCTAATGAAAGCTGCGCCCAATGGAATTTATTACAGAACCCGTGGAACTGCTTTGCGTGATTATGAATGAATATCGACGAAACATCAAGAAGATGCGCGAGAATGTTCAGTTTTTAAAAAAGAGGTCCACTTTCCTGTCCCATAGTTTGTAACCGTTTAGTTGGCGTTCCGTGATAAACGATTTCGCGAAGAACTTTCCTCCTTACAGTAGTAGTATTGAATGACTCAATGATTTCACTTCGCTGTTCGGCTCAGTGGCCCAAGAAAATGTATTTCAGACTAAATAAGACAGGTGATTCCTAAAGACCTAAAAAGCACTCTGATCCGCGCCGATCAAGCCCATCATTTCGATTAAGGTACATTAGCTTGCAGTATATGCAATACATCAAAGCCCACGACTCTTTGGGTAAATAATGCAAAGATGCCCCTCGTAAAACTGGAGATAATAAATACTACTTAATTTTCAAATGTAAGCAACTGCGTGTGACCTCACACAATGATAAAAGTAAGTATCTGTGTTTCAAGTGTGTGTTGGAACAAAATTTCACCACTAATCTACATAATTCCTTGTATGGCATTTACTTACCCCCAAGCAAAACAAACCCATAGAGGCACGGGAACAGTTGAACGCCGAACAGCTCCCACATAATTTTTGTGAGAACCTCTGTTAATTCAAATCAGATGTCAGTTCCAGAACACTACAAACGGCCTTGTATAATTGATTTAAAAGTACATCTTAGGGAATCACGATATCTCGCTGGAATTTATGGGAACTACACTGGTAACAACAGCGAATTTGGCATTTTTAAAATTTTACCAGATAGCCTAAAGTTTTGGCCCAAAACTGATGCGCAAATGATCAAAGGATTGTTCACCTTATGTTGGTTGTTCACGTAAGACACTGCTGACTCCGTGTAATAATGTTTCGGTTGCCGAATGTGATTCTGTTTGGATTAATTACAAACGGTTAAGCTCATGGCTGGAGCCAAAGGATAGGTGCCAGGAATTGATCGGGAGTAGAATGACGCCATTTCTCTCTTGTCGCACCTAAATTATCCGCCATCAATGTTGTTTTCAAGAAATCTGATGCAGGCTTCAGTGTTGACCACTGTTGTGCTGTCAGTGGTAATGATGATACCGAGAAGTTATAATGATGATATCATAAAATAGAAGAAAATGTTATCGCAAGTGGTAATTGTTATATCATCAATAAGCCGATCGAGAAAATAGAAACCTGAGATATCCTTTAAGAGTTGTCATCTATAAGATTCGTAATGTTGAGCCAAACATTTGTCTGTGCGCCGATCCTCTAGATCGGATTCAATGTCCTGTGTGCACGGGGTAGTAAAATGTGCTTTAGTAAATTGGCATACCCATTAAGACATTATGAGCAGTGATATGGTCACAAGGATAGCGAGGCTTTAGTAATCAAATAATAAGGGTCATTAGGATTTTTTCCTAGGCAATTACTGGTTAATTTTCAAGTGCATCACGAAGTTCTGAGCAGCTTTCCAAACAATGAAATATCGAAGCAATCCGGATGGGAAGGTTTTTCATAGGTTTTTATTTTCCAAACTTGAACACGTCTCAAATGTTTACTTGATTTCTCAAAACCTCTCCGTCCACCTGGCAGAAATGCTTAAAAGTTGTACCAACTTTAGCGAATATGCACTCATCTGCAAACTTATTTGGTTCTTTCGAGAGACTCACCTGGAACCCAGTTGAATCTCTAGTTTATGATGTTCTCAGGCAACTGAATGTGCTGCACCAGGCCGCCTCATGTTTCAGTCGCTACGATATTTGAAATATCGCGATACACGTATATTTGTAATGTACTACTCATAAGGTTGCTGAAAATCCATCGACAGCCCACGACCGGTTTCGCCCTTCTTGGGGCTCATCAGGTAGGCGCAGTCCCCGGGTTTCCGTCAACCTTATGTTCTACTTGAAACCAAATTGCACGAATTTAGCGAATATACACTCATCTGCAAACTAATTTGGTTCTTTTACAACCATGAAACATGGGTATGTTAACAACGATATTTCAATTGCAGATCAGTCATTGTTTTGAGAAAGAAACTGATTTGGGTCTGCCTTCGAAGTAAACAGCTTTGTCCCTGGAAATGTTGCCAGAAAGGCAGTTTTAAATTTTTATTTCATCATGTTATGATAAAAACGAAGGCAAGCCTTCCGGCGTTACTTGTCCCAGAGTTAGGTTTTACCTTTGAGAGCCCCCAGTTTCCCACTTAGGACGAGACGTTTGAGCTCTCAAACTGAGAAAACTAATCTGTGGTATACTGTAAATCCTAACAGAAAAGCACCGGTCATTTCGTAAATATGGCAATTCGTAAGTCACCACCCTGGTGCGAAAGTGAATCTTGGGCGTACCTTTATACACCGACAACCCTAATAGCTCATTGGATTTTGCAACATCAGAAGACTAGATTACAACCCAAAAACTTGAATACAGTAGAACATTCCCGATCGCCTGCACACGACGTTGAGCGAAACTAGTGTTCCTACGGTTCACAGTGCGGCCACCCTTTCGCCACATACATGACTGCACAGGTCACCGACACACGCTGAATCACGAGATCTGACTTTTTTTCTTTCACTCACAAATCACGCCGCAGAATACTGACTAACTTGACTACACAGCTCACAGTCAAGCCCTTGATCGCAAGGCCCGCCTTTTTTCCCTACACGTACAAATCGCGATACACAAGGGTGACTCATCTGACATCGACTGTCTACCGTCCGACGAGGTAGCAACAAGTCATGTGCTGCTCCTACACATGCTCCTACACATAGGATAACAGCACAGCAACACAACACAACGGAGCTTCGCACGTCACCCAACTCGGAGCAGAGCCGCTCAGGACTTACGGCGCTTCACCAGGAATACGTGTGGCCGCTACAACAGCGAAGACACGAAACCTGCATCCGGGCTTGCAACAGGGTTTAACAACCTGTACCTGCAAAACGATAAGTCCCTTGTTCGCATATGTACCTGTTGTAATAATTCTACTCAACAAACTGATATTGGTGGTGCTCCCCGTTTTCTCATTCGTGTAACTAATTTCCGGGTTCCAGTAAAGCATTAACAACAGTTCCTTACACGACACGCGCGTACCGAACGATGCGATGTTGGGTACGCACTTCTGGCAAATGGCTATAGGAAAAAAGAGCGTTGCTTTGCAAGGTTGTTCGACCATTCACTCAGATTAGTGATCTTGGCTGAGCAAAGAAGGGATCGTGGTGCATATGCAAGTTACGGGCAATCACAAACTCAAACGAATAGTCATCCTGTTCTAAAGCGTATGTATTTATTCCCCACATAACAGGTCGTGTCCAAAGCAGATTCAACCGGTTGACTGGTCATACTAATTTACAAAAACCGGAGCTTCTATCCTGATGACGGGAGAAATATCAAAACTGCGAATATCAAGTGAAGATATTCAACCGAACCAAATGGGATGCATATGCTCTTCAAAGCAGTCTGTTGTTTTACTTCATCGTTTTTTTGTTATCACGTCGGTTAGTAATGAACGTTATCTTTTTAACTGACTAAATGAAGCGCAAATGCAAAACTTTTGAAGCTCGTCCACACGGTTTTTTTTGTGTAAAAATGGATCGATCCATGAGATATTGTATTGGAAAATGCGTAAACATCTGGTTAGGGAACCAGCTCGATCACAGGCCAATCAAGCGCTTTTGCGGTCTAACTGGGTTCAGCTTTGAATCACAGACCCACATTTATAGTGAACACACTACCAAAATCGTTACCGTTTGCAATACCTTACTGGCTGTTTAGACGAGCTTTAAAATGAAAATAAGTACATCTTCGAAGGCAAACGAATGACCCGGAAATCAAATGAAACTTTCGGAATGTGAATACTATCCGCAAAAGACGGCAGCACGAGATAGAGCTAACTGACGTTAGCCACGCGAAACTGACTGAAAGAGAACATCGCCCTTGTCACCTCAGTCGGAAACGTCTCCTAGCAGATGCCCCAACTGTTCAAATATTNAATCATAAGTGGATATTCAAATTACTGTTTAACTCGTTTGAGATAAAGATTTGGTGATCATTGTTACCCACAGCGAGCTGGGTTTGGTTATATTCCCAGAGCAAGCTCATGAGACCTGCTGTTAACAAGTGCGTAACAGTGAGGGTATATTTCCCTGGTTTTCGGTCAATTGTAATACTGACAAATGATGCTTTGGTGTACCAAATCACTACCGGCTGGATT